ATTGGGAACCATATTGACAGAACATAAAAAAAAAAACATCCCATGTTTTCCACCATTGCAACTCAAAAAACCATAGTATATCTATTAAAAATACAGTAATTTTAAACAAAGAACCAAATATGAACAAACAAAAACTCAAGGAATCCATCTTAATTGAACAAAACAACCCTACTCTAAACCAACATCTTGGGGTGCCAATATATCTTCTCTAAGTTGTGCAACAATATCTGGTTATGTGACCTCTTTGTTCCATACTGTGTGTGTGTGTGTGTGTGTCAGTGTAAACTACTTGTACCTGATCATGACAAAACCTTGTCAGAACATTGTACATTTGCTGTTATGTTAAATTTATATTCAAGAGTTTTTTCATAACCCAAGCCGTCTGCAAGCATTAGTTCTGTCCATGACGTGAATAACTATCGAAAGCTCAGAATGTGGCTTTATAAGCCAATTTGAAGTATTCCAACACCAAATTCTTTCTGTTTATGCTAGAATCTTAGCAGTAAGGTAAGACTTTAGTGAGCCTGAAATTTCATTTTTTTAGACTCAAATATAGCTTATTTACAAAGCTTCATAAATTATAATGGAATTTTATGGTATTGATATCGTAATTTTTTATTTTTGTTATTCCAAAATGTATATATAAAACCTAGAAAATTATTTCATTTCACATTCTCCACGTTTGAAATTGGATTATGCTTAGCAACCTATGGCAAGCAGCAAACGAGTACAACATTCCTAACTAGATGAGATAATTATATGCTATACTTTTTTATCTACTCTTGTATGTTTTAAGAAAAATAAGTTTAAGAACTTATTTCTAAATAGCAATAATGTATTATAACTAAAATGTGACTGTATTTTATAAAATACTACTCTACTAAAACACAGCCAAGACAGGTCACTTTATAAAGGCCAGTTTCATACTCTTGTATACAGTAACATGAGTGCACGTACGCTGCATCATTGTAACTTCTGTAATGTTAGCCAGGCAAGGCTGAAAGGTCAATATAATAAATATATATAAATTTATAATGTTATGAGATTTAAGCTATTTAGACTAAACATTTGTGTTTTTGTGTTATAATTAGCAGTCATTCTAGAATGAAAGAAGCACAACTTGTATATATTTCCTGTTTTTTTTTATGGTGGTTACGAGGTCAGTCAAATTTACCAAACCATACAGCTATACGGATAAAATATAGTTTTTTTTCTTAAAGAACACTTGATAATTATCTGGAGGTTATAAAGATTTTGCATGTGAAATTTGAAAATGTTCTGATACATAAAAGTATTTTTAATCTTAAAATCCAAATTATTTTGTGTGTTGGATAGTCGACATTTGAAAAGAAAAAAGGTATGTCAAAAACATTACTTAAGAAATCATAAAGCTTATTAAAAAAAAATCTGATATTTTGCATATGAAAGTCTTGTAAGGTTTACTAATCTGCAAAATTTTGTAAAGAAATGCATACATTATCAAAAATCATCGTATAATTACTCTCATGGATACTTTAGTAGTTACGAGCTGGGTGGTTCTCACCCAACTCGTAATAGTAGGGTTAAAGGGAGGAATACAATAATTCATAATATTTTGTTGCTATTTTGTGTATGACCCATGCACCATTAACTTTAAAGAAATTTTTTGTATTAATTATGAAGAACATTTTTATATTTAAATTACATGTGAATTAGTTTAGAAATTATATGAAATCATTGACCTAGGAGTATTATTGTAATCCCTTTATTTATCAGTTTTGAAAGATCTCTGTGAATGTCTGTTTTTTCTTGGTGTTTGATAAATTTATGTTTTTGAAGATATTGTCCAAGATCAAATACTTATTTTAGATAGAAGAGAAAATATACTTTTCTTTGGCAGATACTGTGTGTAAAAACAGAAGAGTATATATTTTTTTTTTATATTACAAAGATCTTTATTATTGTCGATTGCAATATAACTTGTTTGATAGTTTTATCTTTTTATTTATTTATGACAAAATGTTTCTATGTTCCAGTATACTAAGTGAAGTCTTTTGTGTTGCAACCTCAGTTTACTGAGTGAATGATGTCAGCTTAGATTATTGGAACTTGTTTATAAAATTTGAAAAATTATAATAGGACAAGAGTAAATATCAGTGTGTGAGTGTGTGTAAATATTTTATTTTGAAAACCTTAAATTTTTGTTTATTGAAATGAGAATTTGTTGTTCATGTAAGGATGTAATCTGTTCTTCAGTAAAAATGACACAGACTGATAGCTAAGTAGTTATTAAAGTTTGTTCATGTCAAGACTGTACCAAAATTAGTCCAACTCTGTGTGATCAGAGGAAGACTACAATAATTTGTTTACCTTTCATGATATTAGACATGTAATGTTATTCTGTAGATGTGTTTGTCTTAAGTGGTATAATATGTGTACTTAGTATTATGAAATTAATTAAGTGCCAAGTGATTTGGTGTTTAAACAAAGAAAATTCATTGTTATTGGTTGCAGCAATGCATGCATGGATGTCTGTATTGTGTATATCATTTTATTTGTAACATATGCTTTTTAAGGAATCAATCAAAACTTAAATGTAGGAAAAAAAGAGCACTTGCTTAAGGAACTGATGCAATTATGATATATATATGTATCAAACTTAGTTAAAACAAATGCTAACATGCCATTCTTTCTACAGCACAGCTGCAGTCCTAATGTATTTGTTCAGAATGTTTTTGTTGATACACACGACTTGCGTTTTCCCTGGGTAGCTTTCTTTGCAATGACGTGAGTATACCCCATACAAATATTTGTTTATATTACTAGGTTACATATAAATTGTTCAAAAGTAAGAAGAAAATATGCTAGGTTTATAAAGTTTACACCTGTTTATTCCATTTAGATGGGATTAGGATAGTAAAAAAAGTACTTATTTCTGTAAGTAAGTGAATAAACAGTGGGTAAAGGAACTTTTGTATTTGGATTTAAGACTTTCTAAGAGTGAAACTGTGGATTCTCAGTATAGCAAATATTTTTGTGGTAAAGATTTGTAATACACACACACACACCCAGCATATCTCATCATAAAAACAACACACTTGAAGTCACTCAGTTGAAATGTATAATGTAAACTGTAAAGAAAGCAACTTTTAAATTTGACATTATTCAAAGTGCATTAATGAAATGTTATCAATAGTTTCGTGATATGTCATTCCTCAGGTACGTATATCTAAAGAAGAGCAATATTAAAAGCTATTACAATGAAACTGAAAGTATGTAAATAACTTTTAGGTATTTAAATTTATAGGTAATAGTAAATTCTATAAACTAGATTTGAGAATTAAGCTTGCATTATAAAATTAAATTCTATTAGTTTTCTTGCATTAACAAAGGTTACAGTTTCCTTAAACTTAGGTTTTCTTTCAAAATTTTAGAATCCATTAAAATCCCTTCTGTAGTTTAATAATCTGTTCATTTTATTTAAAAAGGCTTCAAAACATTGAATGAAAAATTGTTTTCAAAAAAAGGTCATTTTGTTTTTCATTACAGTTCCATAATGGGAAAACATTTTAAAAAATCTTCTCTTAAATTACCAAGTATATGTTTAATACATGTATAAAGATATTTGCTTGAAAGGAACTAATTGCAGGTAGTCCCCACACTACTAATGAAGGTAGTCCCCACAAATGCTACAAATGTAATGGGTTTTACTTTGAAGATAAAAGTTTGATTTATTTCCACACAGTCTCAACAGAAAGTGTATTAGTTTAAAACTGCTCTGAAAACGTTTATGGATGATTGTTTCATAATTTGGAATCTTCTGCATAACCTTTATGATACCTTGTATTAATCCTGATCTTTTACACATTAACGGAATGCTAAAAATCTTTCATTTATAGATTTTTGTAATGCCTTTAGATAGATATTAACTAACAGATTACTGACTTGTTGTTGTACTGTTAACAATTGATTTGTTCCACATGTATTGCATCAAAGTGAGTATTTTATGTTTTGTCCTTTACACTACTTAATTAAGAGAACCAACCCAAATTAGTTTAGTAAAATCACAAACTAAATATGTAAAATGCATAAGGTAAACCAGAAGCAATTAGTGAGATTAACTGCAATATTGATGATATTTTTTATATTAGCTGGTTTGTACTATGAATCTACAAGTTCTCACAGATATTTTAATTTTTATATCAGTCATTGTAAACACACCAAATTAATTATTTCTGATGTGCTTTAACTCCTTCCATACAAGTTGGAGTCAGAGTGCATATCATCATGTTTTTTGGATTTACATTTAAAATTTTATTAAAATAATATTTTATCAGTCTTTGTCCATAAATTTGAAATCAAATTATAGTTTATAATTCAAATTTAATTGTTATACATTATTTAATTTTTTAATTGAAAAGTAAATAATAAAAAAATTTGCTAAATGTTGATATTTTGTGTGTATATATATCACATGGTACAACGTCTTCTGCTGTTGCTCAGATCGTATTGTGGGTATCATTATTTAGAATAAATAGTTGTGATTTCCTGATACAATTTGCAGCTATTCTAGAAAGAAAAAACCGTAATTTAGATTTATTTCCTAATTTTTTATGGTATTACGAGGTCAGTCAAATCAACTCACTATAGAGTTAGGATAGAGAAAATAACAGATAGAATAAAGTTCTTTAAAAAAATGATATTTATTTAGGAGGTTATAGAGATTATGCAAATGAAATTTGATAATTTTTATATGAAGTAAAGTATTTTTAATCTTAAAATCAAAATTATATTGCATGTTGGATAGTCAACATTCCAAAAGCATAACCTCATGAGCAAAT